GGCCGGACCCCCGCCGCCGCCCGCGCCGCCGCCGCCGCCCCCGGGCGCGCTGGACGCCCTGTCGCTCAGCAGCAGCCTGGACAGCGGGCTCCGAACCCCCCAGTGCCGAATCTGCTTCCAGGGCCCGGAGCAGGTCAGGCCTGGGCACCCGGCCGGGCGGGAGGGGTGGGGGCGCGTACCTGGGGCGCCCGGGCGGACCACGAACAGGGGGCGGGGCCTGAGGAGGCTGGGCGGGACCCAGGACCCAGAGTGGGTACTGGGTGAGGTTGGGGGGCTGACTGGAGAGGCCCCGAGCGCACGTTTGGGGTGGAGGGGGGTCAGAGGCTCCCGGGAAAGGGTGGGGCTTTCTCATGGGAGGACTCAAAATCCCTCACACCCACTAACAGGGACAGCCTTTCTGTCCCACTTCTCTCACCCCAGGGTCTCTGTAGGCCGAGGGGCCTATTCTCGGAGGTTGGCAGAGTGCTTCTATTCCCCCCTTGAAGGGAGGGACCCAGCCGGTGCCCTTGCCTCATTCAATATTTCTCTCCGTGGGGCACTTTTCTTCTTCCCATTCCATAACTTTCCATCTCATTCCAAAGAGTACTCTTTGTTCAAACGCTATGGACAAAGTTGTCCTGGGATGGTGCGGGGGCGGGGGGGGGGGTGTACCTTTGTTATGAGAAATGATTCCTTGGTTAAGGGGGAACATATTCCCACTCCCAGGAACTCTCCCCCTTTTGATACTTGGAAACTGAAGACGATAACTCATCCCAGTCTGTACCACATCTGTGAAACACTTTACAGCGAAGGGATGGAGGAGGAAGGCATGGATCAGAAGCTCTGACCCTCCTGCCTCTCTGGAACCTAAGGGGTAGCTTTCCATCTGGGAAGCCTTAATAAAGAGCACCCTCCCCAAATTTTAGGAAAGGAGAAAACTCAGTCCTCTCCTAGCCCCATTTCGGTTCGTTCTTCATCTATTTGGGCAGGGAAGTTTACCCTGAGCTCTAACTTTTTTCTTTTTTCTCGGAGGCCTCAGCCTTCTTGCCCTGTTTTGGGTGAGAGGCCTGAATTTTTTTAAGGTTGGAGAATGACTGACCTGGAGAGGTTTCCCTCTCTTGGATTGGAGAGGAGTGGGGTCGGGTGGAGACAGCTGACCGGACCCTCCTCACTCTTCCTCCAGGGGGAGCTCCTGAGCCCCTGCCGCTGCGACGGCTCAGTGCGCTGCACACACCAGC